CCTATATAATAAAAGCTTAATATGCAAATCGACTGAATGGTGGAAACCATTGCCCCCTGGTCGCCCCACAGAGGGAGGCCACTGGTGGCAGTGGTGGGGGAGTTAGGGGGTGGTGTCGGCGAGTGGCAGGTGGCAGGCCGGCCAAGGCAGGTGTGAGTGGGGGGGCCCCCTCAATCACCCTGCCAGTTGCCCCCAGATCAGCCCTGATTGCAGGCCAGGCCTAGGGATCCTACCCATGCACGAATTTTGTGTATCGGGCCTCTAGTAGTAATATAAAAGAGAAAGTAATAAACACCTTAAGAGGTATATAAAGTACAAAGAATGTCTAGAAAAAAGAAAGCTTAATTCAACTAAGTACTTTGAATTTAAGGGAAAACTTTTCAACAAGGGGTACTTAACAACTGGCCATCCACATGCAAAAAAATGACCTTACAACATTCACAAAAATTAACTCAAAATAGATCATATATCTAAATGTAAATGGAAAACTATAAAACTCCTAGAAAACAACACAGGAGAAAACCAGATGACCTCAGGTATGGCAATGACATTTTACTAGTAGATACAATACCAAAGGCATGATCCATGAAAGAAATAATTGACAAGCTGGACTTCCTTAACATCAAATACGGTTGCACAAAATCTGTGAAAGACAATTTCAAAAGGGTGAGAAGACAAGCCACAGCCCAGGTGAACATATTGGCAAAAGTCACATTTGGTAAAGGACTATTGTCTAAAATATACAAAGAACTCTTCAAACTCAACAATAAGAAAAAGAAAAAACCTGATTTGAAAAATGGGCCAAATACCTTAACAGACACCTCACCAAAGAAGATATACAGGTGGCAAATAAGCACAAGATGCTCAACATCATATGTCATCAAGGAAATAAAAATTAAAACAACAATGAGATTAAAACAATGATGTTAAAATCCAGAACAATGAAACCACCAAATGCTGGCAAGAATGTGGAACAACAGGAACTCTCATTTACTGCTGGTGGGAATGCAAAATGTTATAACACACTGAACATACTTTTACCATATGATTCAGCAATCATGCTCCTTGGTATTTACCCAAAGGATTTAAACTTATGTCTACATTAAAACCCAAACATGATTTTTATAGCAGCTTTATTCATAATTGTCCAAACCTAGAAGCAACCAAGATATCCTTCAGTAGGTGAGTGGATAAACTGGTCCATTCAGACAATGGAATATTACTTAGCACTAAAATGAAATGAGTTAGGGCAGTGGTCGGCAAACTCATTAGTCAACAGAGCCAAATATCAACAGTACGATTGACATTTCTTTTGAGAGCCAAATTTTTTAAACTTAAACTATATAGGTAGATACATTGTTATTAACTTAATTAGGGTACTCCTAAGGCTTAGGAAGAGCCACACTCAAGGGGCCAAAGAGCTGCATGTGGCTCGCGAGCCGCAGTTTGCCAACCACAGATAGGGGAAGGAGGTGGAGGGATTGAGAGAGAAAAAAAAGAGCTACTAAGCCATGAAGAGACATGGAGGAACCTTAAATGAATATTACTAAGTGAAAGAGGCCAACTTAAAAAGGCTACACAGAATGTGCTTCCAACTATATGACATTCTAGAAAAGGCAAAACTATGAAGATAGTAAAAGACTAGTGGTTACCAGGGGTTTGGGGAAGAGAAAGATGAATAGGAGAAGCACAGAGGATTTTCCAGGCAGTGAAACGACTCTGCATGATCTATACATATTTTTATAGCAAAGGTGGAGATTTATTGAAGAACAAGTACAGACTCCCACGTGGGGAGAGGGAAAGAGTCCCACAGAATGGACTCCCAAGTAGGTAGGGGGAAAGGGTCCCACTGACTTCCTTTTCCCTGTGGCTTATAAAGGCTGCAGATCCTGGTGCCTTGATATCCCCTCTGATAGGTCACTATTCCCTTAGACTGGTTACTATAGTAACTTCTAGGCTCAAAGGTGGAACCTCACATGGGACATGTGATCTCCCCCTCCTTCCTTATTGTTTTCCTATTCCCTTTGGGCTTTCTTCTTCTGGATGAAGGGCTTCTTTCTCTTTATTTTGTAAATATAGACCTTTTGCTGTTCCCAGCTCCCTCATTCTATGGAATTGTACCTGTTGCACTTTTTCATTCTCCCTATTCTATGGAAATATACCTTCTGCTGCTCTGCTTGAGTCTGTATGATATTGTAATGGCAGATACATATTATTATACATTTGTATGATATTGTAATGGCAGATACATATCATTATACATTTGTCCAAACCCAGAGAATATACAACACCAGGAGTGAACCCTAAACTATGGACTTCGGGTGATAATGATGTGTCAGTATAGGTTCATCAATTGTAATACATGTACCACTCTGGTGGGGACATTAATAATAGAGGAGGCTATGCTTGGGTTTGATGGTTCTTTAAAATTTAAACACCAAATTATGCTGTAACTCAGCAATTCCACTTGTTTTAAAAATATATTTTATTGATTTTAGAGAGGAAGGGAGAGAGAAAGATAAAAACATCAATGATGAGAGAGAATCATTGATCGGCTGCCTCCTGCAGGCCCCCCACTGGGGATTGAGCCCACAACTCAGGCATGTGCCCTTGGCCGGAATCCAACCTGGGACCCTTCAGTCCGCAGGCCGACGCTCTATCCACTGAGCAAAACCAGCCAGGGCAGCAATTCCACTTTTAAGTATATACACAAAGTAACTGAAAATAGTGACTCAATCAGATAATTGTATGCCATGTTTAATGCAGCATTTTTCTAGCCAAAATGTAGAAATAACCCAAGGTCCATCCATCACAGATGAATAAACAAAGTGTGGTACACACTCAGAGGATTATTATTCAGCCATACAAAGGAATGAAATTCTGATATATGCTACATGAATGAACCTTAAAAACATGCTAAATGAAATAAGGCCAAACACAAAAGGACAAGTATTGTATGATTCCACTTGAAATACCAGGAACAGGCAAATTCATAGAAACAGAAAGTAGAGTAAAGGTTATCAGGGGCTGGGGGAGGGGAATCGAGAGTTATTGCTTAACTGTTACAGAGTTTCTGTTTGGAATGATGAATAAGTTTTGAAAATAGTGGTGATGATTGCCCAACATTATGAATATAATTAATGCAGTTGAATTTTACACTTAAAAACAGATATAATGGTAAATTTTGTTATGTGTATTTTACCACATTAAAAAAACACACTCAGTTAATACAATGGGGAGGGGAAATCACTGAAAACTGCTAATCACAGCTAACTTTTATTTTGGATACAACCAGGAGGGGTTCTTTTGCTCTGTTAAATAAATATACTTAAAATCTAGCAAACATCAGAGCAGAATTAAGGGCCAAGTCTAAAAAAGAGACAGGAGGGAACATTTCAATAGTTTTAACAGCTATACAAAGTTACATATTGTAAGGGAAATATAATGTAAGTATATTCAATGGCTTTATACTTGTCTAATACTTGACATTTCAAATTTTGAAAATATGAAAATTATTACCAAGCAAAACTCAGACCACATTAGCAATGGTTTAAAAAAGGGAGCAATTTAATTATTATAATACAGAGCTTTAAGAAGTTTTTTAATGTGTAAAAGAAAGAACAGTTTAGTGCATTAAATTGTTACAGTCTTTACATTGCTTCTTTTAAAAAAGTTAACAGTAGTATGAAAAAGCCACCCACAAAGCCAGCTGTCCTAGAGAAGAAATCAGCTAAATGGCAGCATTTTGGAATTACTAATAAAGCTATAGTTAAAAAATGAAAAGTTTATAAAAATGAAAGCAGCATGCATATTCAAGGCTTTTTCATAACATTTTCATTAGATGACAAACATTTAGGTAAAAACATGAGATTAATATTTATTATCCATTAAATTAGATTAAACTGGCCAAGCCCACTACATCTGGTCATTCAGAAAAAAACAAACAAAAAACCCCAACATTTTAAAACACAAAGCTAATTGAGCCCTGCCAGAGTGGCTTAGTTGGTTGAACATTGTCCTGTGCACCGAAAGGTTGCTGGTTCCATTCCTGGTCAGGGCACATGCCCTACAGAAGGCAACCAATTCTTTCTCTCTCTCTCTCTCTCTCTCTCTCTCTCTCTCTCTCTCTCTCTCGGCATGTCCTCAGGTGAGGAATAAAAGAAAATGAAAATAAATAAAATAAAATACAAAGCTAATTGAACTGAACATTTCTTCCATGAAAAAGCACATTTTGAAAAATGGTCCCCTAGTCACAAAAGAAAGGGTCCTTCTCAACATGAATGAACAGCACCGGTTTTTACAAGGTTTATAAGTTAGTAGGAACTTTCAGTCTCCTGAAAAGCTGACTTTTAATTCATTATGATCAGTTAAGAATTTTTTCTCTATTCACTGAAGTTATTACACAAAGTAGAATTTCACTGAAAGGTAATTCTTGAAAATTCTGATCTGACACCTGTACAAACATTTGATTTCCATACGATTGGCATAGCATTTATTTCAGAGTTTCACCCCATCCAAATTCTAATGCCAGTTTCTTTTCCTTCTTCAGTGTTGATTATCTTCAGTTTAATAAAAAGCAAATTCAGCTTCGAATGAAAACAAGTAACAGAAGCATTACAAGTAGTAATAGTGGTATCCATGAAAGATCTAATCATTAAGGGCCAATAATACCACAAACTCTTATTGTGCCAACGTGTGTCAAAAGGCTGTATTCTCACTTACATTGAAAATGAATAAGCCCATGCATAACTTTTAATCTTCGTGCAGGGCCTGATAAACAAGACAAAAATAAATCAGGTTTTTCTTTTTCCTGTTTCCAACAATTTTTACTCTGGGAAATGTTTGGTCACTCAAAGTATAAGCTTAATAACATATCAGAGAATACAGACAATAAGGTCCATCTCACCAGATATACAGTATTACACTAGACAAAATATGAGGACAAGCTCTAGTGGTCATTAAACCCCCTCTGAAAGTCCAAGAATCAGAATGTCTCCATCTTATCAGAATAAAAATGTATTAAAATTTGAATTTTTACAAGTTGTTTTTTAATGTGTTCTATTTACATTGCAGAACTTTCACCAGCTGCAGTAGTTTAACTTTGGCACAACATTAAGTTCCATTTCTTTTGGGTACTGGATCCTATTTTTTGAGAATGTGTATGCTCCCAAAGGGTTTCAGTGTCATTAAAGATTGAGCCCATTCACAGTAAATCAGACAGCTTGAGTTGAAGAATTGATTCTCCTCCAACGTTTTAGGCAACTATAAAAAAAACACACACAATAAAAAACTAAAAACTTAAAGAAAACCATACTTTAATGTTTACCTCTTTTAGAAACAAAAATGATAGAAATTAGCCATGAAAACACATCCTCTGTAATCACTCAGTAATACTGAGATCACTTCCAAATATATCTTATATAATGCACTAGATTTTGTGTGCAATTCCTATGTATGTGTTCTGCATATACTAGATTTGCTTTAAAGACATTTTCACCTATATGTAATAATTTTTACCTATATTGCATATACCTATATGAAATAATTTATTTAAAATTATTAGTAAGAAGCATATATTTCATTGTCAGTGTCTGTAATAAACTATAAAATCTAAACTCTTGTATTTTTCTTTCTTTTTTTTAACTCTTGTATTTTTTTTTCTATTTATATACATCAAGTCCTCAAATAACTTTGATTGGTTCAACACCATTTTGTTATAACATGATGAGATGCTGCAGGTATTTAATTCTTGCTTATATCCATCAGCCTGTGGTAAAATTGGTTTCTTTATACATCGCTTCGCTTAAAGTCACAGACCTGTTGACAACATTAAGTGAGGACTTACTGTACAAGGCCAGCTTGTGCAAAAGACACACATATACAGTAATCCTCCTTATCCATGGTTTCGCTTTCTGCAGCTTCAGTTACTTGTGGTCCACCACAGTGCAGAAATATTAAATGAAAAATTCCAGAAATAAACAATTCATAAGTTTTAAATTGCATGCTGTTCTGAGCAGCATGATGAAATCTCACATCATCTCCCTCCATCCTGCCCAGGACGTGAATTATCCCTCTGTCCAGCAGATCTACTCCGTATATACTACCTGCCCATTTGCCACTTAGTAGTCCTCTGGGTTATCTGATCAGTTAAGAAAGAGAGAGCAAGAGAGAGAGAGAGAGAGCGCAAGAGAGAGAGAGAGAGAGAGACCACATTCACAACTTTTATTTTACAGTACTAGAGGCCCGGTGCACAAATTCATGCACCAGTGGGGTCCCTTGGCCTGGCCTGTGGGATCGGGCTGAAACCGGCTCTCTGACATCCTCCAAGGGGTCCCGGATTGCAAGAGGATGCAGGCCAGGCCGAGGGACCCCACTGGTGCACTATTGGGGTCGGGGAGGGACACGGGAGGTTGGCCAGCCAGGGAGGGACCGCGGGAGGGCTCTGTCCAGCCTGTCTCGCTCAGTCCCCATCGGCCGGACCCCAGCAGCAAGCTAACCTACCAATTAGAGCGTCTGCCCCCCAGGTGGTCAGTGCACATCATAGTGACTGGTTGACCAGTTGACTGACCCCTGGTGGTCAGTGCACATCATAGTGAGTGGTTGAGCAGCCTTAGCATATCATTAGCATATTACGCTTTGATTTGTTGAACGGCTGACCAGCCGACCGGACACTTAGCATATTAGGCTTTTATTATATAGGATATTATAATTGTTCTATTTTATTAGTTATTATTGTTAATCTCTTACTGTGCCTAATTTATAAATTAGACTTTATCATAGGTACGTACATATAGGAAAAAACATAGTTTATAAGGGGCTTGGTACTAACTGCGGTTTCAGGCATCCACTGGGGGTCTTGGAACATATCCCGGAAGGGATATGTTCTCACTCTGTATCTCACTCTTTGCAATAACTATTTTGGAAAGGTTTTGGTTCCTTTTTTTTCATAAGTTGAACTATATTTAAATGAAAAAGTAACTATTGAGAGGAAACTTAAGGTGAATCCTTTTGTAGGATAAAAACTTAACTTGTTAAGCCAATAATTTGTTGATTAATGTCTTTATAATTTTAGACTTTTGCATATTTTAAGAGCAAGGCAAGTATATATATGTACCACAAAAGTACACATAAAACATATATGACACAATTTTGAAAACTGTGGCTTTGTGTGAATTTTTTAATCATAGTACCTATTTAAGTATTAATATAAGAATTATCCACACAAACTTAAAGTAAGGTCAAACTAAATTACATAAAAGTTCACATTAGTTTTAGAAGACTGCAATTCCCCAAAAAATCACTGCAGAGGTTACAACAACAATTCATTGCGGCAAAAATTTTGTTGTTTTAATCTTGGCTGAGTGCACATTCTTGTGTCTAGCAATAAAAAAAAAAGCCTGTTAAAAATATTTTATGCATCTGGGTCAGAAGAAAGCCTGTCCTGAAGAGTTCCGACATTAGGAAATGGAGGACTGCCTCAGGATAAAGCTGTACAAAACTATTTAACTTCTTGTAACCTACAATACAGTTTGTTCTATAACCTGAGTGAGATTTATTCAAAAGTAGGTGCATTTTTAGTGTCATCTTTTTCTCTGCCTGAAGAAAAAATGTTCATGAAAAGAAAACTTGGAAAAGGATTGCTAAACAGTAAGAATAGTATCTGGGACATAGCTCTCTATAAGCAATTGTTATAACAAAACAAATAAAACCATGAAGGAAGACCTGGGGGAATGAAGGAGATACTGTGCAGAAAAAGAGAGGATAAAAGTAGAGGCTGGGATAGGGATGCAAAAAGCTAAGGAAATACATAAATATGCTCATATAATCATAAGAGTCTATGCCTTGTTTCCTCCCTTACAGTCTGACAACACTGCAGTAATTTCAGATAACAAGATGCTTTTGGACTACTGATAGACATATACAAACATTTCATGACAACTGCATTGTTTTTTGAAAAGTATAGTTTTATCCTGGAACGTTCAAAAAACTGAGAGTAAAGAACAGAACAATGCTACTGAATTCCAAAAGTAGTAAGAATTGAAGTCCTAACTCAAACCAGATATGTGATTTGCAACTACAGTGACGTTTTAATTAATCCAACCTATAAAAGAATGAAGATTTAAGGAATATGCCAAACCTTTACATTTAAAGCCTATTTACTTGCACTTTTATGACTACAGAGAGATATTTTTTACTAAATACAGCATTTTTGCTGGTAGCAGGTTTGTTTTATATCAAAGAATGAAAAGACATTTTAGGCAATTGAGTTAATTTAATATCAAATTTGTTGTTTACCTTTTGATCTCTAAAACAGAAATAATTTATATTACAGTTTTTAAAAACAGATGCCACCCAAGTAAACATGGAACTTACATGTGGCCTAAAATAGACCTTTGGCTTTTAATAGAAAAAATATTGAGTTATTTTTAATACATAAAGCATTTTAAACTTTAGTTAAAAATCTAATAGTTTGGGGGGTAATACAATGAAAGAAAAAGATACCATTTTCACCTAGTTTCCTGAAACTGAGCAATCCTCACCCCTGTGGCAAGTCTTTCCTTCAGTATACTTTCCCCCTTCTTTTTAGTTTTTGTTTTTTAATTCTTTCCTTAAATAGGCAAAAAATGAAGCTTTAGTGAAGGAGGGTTACAAAAACTACATTTTAGTTATCTTTAGTATTTGTGAATTCCCTCAGACCCATCAGTCTCCCTTCTTAGAAAACAGGTAACTTTCCCTTAAAACAAAGTAAAAAACATTAAACTCTACATATTAAACAGAACAATCATAATCATCAGACTATACATGCTAATCATATATTTCTTGGCTATACTTGTAGTACCTAGTTCTCTTATTAGGTAAAAGAAAAACTATTTAAGAAAAAAACTATCAAAAGTGGAGATGACAGATACCAGGTGGATGTTCTAAATGTGTGTGGTTGATAAATATATGCTTGGATTAAAAACTTACATTTCAGTCATCTGATTTAGAGAGCTTCCGCTTCACATGTTGTGGGGGTTCCCAGGTGTCACTATCATCTGTTTCTTCTTCATCCTCTTCCTGATCATCAATAACTTCATCTTCCTCCTCATTTTCCTCAAATAACTCTATACCTAACTCTGATCTTCTCTGTCTTTCGGCAAACCACTCTCTGACCTGCTCATAGCCCATGTGTGATTTGTTAACAAGTTCGTCCAGGTCTTGCTCATTAAGAAATTTGTGCTTCAGGTAATAATCCTTAAGTATTGCAGTTCCAGTTTTAAATTTTATGAGTGACGCCCCCCTGTCCCAGTTGTTCATTCTCTTGCCTCCTCTAGGCCGCCCGCGCGGCCTTCCTCTTCCCCTTCCTTTGGGTCTCCCTCTCCCCCTTCTCCTAAGGGAAGACAGACCATTCATACCACTTGAATTGGAGCTTTGATAGTAGTAGTACCATTTTAAGTTTCCATTTTTCCAAGCATAACGGGTGTCCCCAAACCAACTAACTATGTCTGGTCTAGCAAGCCCGCTTTCTTTGGCCAACTTGTCATACTCTTCTGGTGACGGCCACTGGGTTCGGACAAATGCGCTTTTGAGCATGTGCAATTGCTCAGGTGTTTTTTTACATATCTTGCCTGCACTCCCTGCCTTAGGTGCACCAGATTCATCTCCAGGAGAAGTTTCTCCCGCTTCTTCTTTGGAACTACCTGCATTAGTTTCATCTACTTCCATTTTCTCTTCCTTTAAAGCTTTTGATTTCTTCTTCTCTGTAAACCAAGCATCAATTTCTCTCCTGGTCAGTTTGGTTTGCGCTCTTAACCTATTTAATTCTTCATCTGTCAGTACGGAGTTGCTGAGAAAACTGGCCTGAAGGGCCTGGAGCTGCTCTGCTGTCTTCTCTTTAAACTTTTGGGGAGTAAAGTCGGGGAAAGGATTCCAGGATTGTTTATGCTGTGAAGTAACAGCAGTTGGGGATTCCGTGGTTTCATCACTGGAGTCTATAATAATGGGAGTGGAGGAATCGTTGTTGAGATGTAAGCACTGATTACTCTTTGAATTTCTCTGGTTGTACCTCGTGTCACTAAACCATTTTTTAATCTCTCCTTTTGTCAAGCCTGTGATTTTCATAAGTCTGCTAATTTCTGAGTCATGAGGAAACTGATTTTTAAGGTAGCTGACTTTTAATTCTGCCAGTTGCTCTTTAGTCTTTTTTGCCCGAATGCCAAATGAATCGGGGTTTGCCAGTGCCGTTTCGTGTTTGACAGGCTGAGAAGTTGGGACTGCTGCTGGGACTGCTGCTGGGACTGCTGCTGGGACTGCTGCTGCTGCTGCTGCTGCTGCTGCTGCTGCTGCGGCCACTGCTGCTGGTTTTGTTTCTGCAGGAGGCTGAGCAGCAGGGGCCTGACTTTTCTGTACACTGCTTTGATTTGGCACCCCTGCCACTGTCAAGGCTATCGGTGCTGTTACCGGCAAGGTGTTTGTTCCAGCTACTTGTGTAAGAACCAGGCCTGGCTGACCAACTATTTGGCATGTCTGTAAAATGGATGGTAAGCCATTACTCCCTGTGGAAATGTGTGTTGGAATAACAGTTATGGTCTGAGGTACAGTGTGTACTGTTCCATTGAATTGCTTTCTTCTTGCCTCCTCTACTTCCTCAGGAGTCCAGCTCACACCATGTTTTAGACGTTGGGCTGAAAACCATATCTTGATCTGTTCCTCTGTATATTTTGCTTGAGCAGAAAGAACAGTAATTTCTGACATGGTTGGATAAGGGAATTTTTTGTAGGTGTTAAGCAAAAGGGGGTTGTTATCCAATGCAACATTGTAGGTAGGAATGCTACTAACAGGAATTAAGACTTTGGGAATCAAATTGGAATTCTGCTGAGCTGACACAGCGGTTATCACCTGTGCTAGTCCAGGAAGAACTGCTGCCGGGGTGACTACCGTGCTGGCAGCATTTGGGTGTATTCTGTTGACAATGGAAGTACTGGTATTAGAGTCAGAAGCTGAAGAACTAGGACTTTCCACACTTTCTTCATGGTCTGGTTTGATCTCCTTCTCTTTCTCTTCAGGAACATCCTCAACTGAGTTATGATGAACTGTAATACGCTTGTTCTCCACTTTATTTTTCATCATTTTCATGATGGGAGTTTTACTGATAGGAATTCCTGAAGAAGAAGCGTCTGTAGATTCAGCGGGCTCTGAGTTCTCCTCTTTAACAAAACTACCATCAAAAGTCAGATCGTTTATAGTTTGTTCAAAGATTGTCTGGTTATTTCGTTTCACCATAGTCAACCTAAAATTCTCTTCTCCTGGGTGGTGCCTCAGATTATGCTCAGAAAGTGCATCATACCTTTTGGTGAGAAAATTACATTCGACACAAACGTAGGAGGAATTTAGCACTATGTTGGGATGTTCTGAATCCACATGAAAAGTAAACATATTTAGGTCTGGAGTTTGAAAAGTACAATATTTACATTCATAACCACCTTCAACTTTTTTATTTTGCTGATTGTCAGAATCCACAGATTCATGAACTTCTTCCTCACTCGACATGCTCTCTGCTCTGCTGTTTTCTACAGGCGTGAGTACAGGAGGCCCTTCATCCAAATCTGATATCAACTCGAGGTCTGGATCCTGTTCACTGGCAAGGACCATGCAGGGTGTTGTTGATTTTCGCCTGCTTGCCATTCTGATGTTATGGGGGAAATCTCAGTGGTGATTAAAAAGCACTGAGGCTTAAAACTATTCAGTATTCTTCATTTGAAAACAATGGCTTTTGGTTCTTCAGGTCCGTTTTTATGCTCAACAAGTCTCATTAGCAGCTTTTTCATGATGCAATCAAGTAAAGAATTTATTGTTGGCAGATAAAATATTGTTGAACTGCTGAAATTTTTGAAGCACAACTCCAATCACCTACATTAAAATAAATTTAAAAATGTTTTTAATGAGTGATTATGATCTTTTAAACAAATTACAGTTATATTTCACTTATATGAAGTTGTTGGATAGCTCAGTTATAAAGATCTAAAATGAGATCAAAACCAGGAAAAAAAAGTCCTCTAAGGATTAAAATAGATGTCTCCAAACCAACTCACTGAAGGTCATGTACTATATTCATGGGTCAGCCCATAGGCTTATTTGGATTTTTCAGCTAGCTATACATTGGAAGGGATGTTGGGGAACAAGTTTGCTTTGCCAAGAGTATTACCAATGTGAAATGATAATCTATTAACAAGGAAGAAGCTTTAAAACTATAAAAAGCAGTCACAGATACTCAGAGACTATGGCAATTAAGTGTATAAGAAATTCAATCCATCAGTTATGCCTGGTCCTACCGGTCTTTCTCATCATCCCAAAAGCATGCCCAAGTATGGCAAAGAAGCAAAGATACAATATGTATGATCAAAGTTTTAGAAACACTATTCTTAATCATTTTCCACAGTGCTACTAGAATCTATAAAACACATCTAATCATATCAGTCTTCTGACTTAAAATTTATGAAAGAATAAAGTCCAAACTCCTGAAGCCACACAGAGCTCCCTTCACAACCTGGCCCCTCCTTCAATCTCCTGACTCCGATTTCTATATGCTTTAAGCCCAGCAGAAATGATTGCTGTGCCAGGGACCCTCCATGCAGGCAACCCTTATACCAGAGCACATGTTTGTGCACTTGGTGGGATGATCTCTCTGTTTGCCTTATAGTTCACCCTCCTCCCTGGTTTATTTTCTAGTCTAGTATTGACTATGTTGTAGTAGAGAAATATTACATTTCTGTCCCACAACATAGTCCTCATTATAGATGTGTGTTTCATTATTTCTTCTTTAAGTGATAGCTTTATCCTATATAATAAAAGGGTAACACGCAAATTGACCAAATGGCAAAACGACCAGTCGTTATGATGCGCACTGACCACCAGGGGCAGACACTCAACACAGGAGTTGCCCTCTGGTGGTCAGTGCGCTCCCACAGGGGGAGCCCTGCTCAGCCAGAAGCCCCAAGGGCTCCCTGACTGTGAGAGGGCGCAGGCCAGACTGAGGGACCCCCCTCCCCACCCCTGAGTGCACGAATGTCGTGCACCGGACCTCTAGTTAAGATATAACAAAGCCCCTGAAACTCTGGATGAAACCAATGAACTTTATATCTTTAACCTAAAGTTTTCCTGAGGTGTCTTGGCAATCTCATTCATTTCTATATCCTCTTTGCATCTAAGAAGCCAAGAAGTGGGGACTCACTAAATGTTTATTAACTGAATAAGAATGAATAGGAAAACAGTCCTACAAAACTTCACATGCCATGAGGGCATCACCAGAGAGAACAGTACCTGAAATTCATAAGAATGATCTTAAATCATCAAGAAAAAGTGTATTATATTCATACAAATACATTTAAATGTTTCAAAATTTTGATGCTAAATCAGTTAAAGTTGATGGGCTTCTGAAGTCTCCAAGAAATATAAAATGAGTAAGGGGTCTTATTCTCTACCACAAATTGGAACTATTCATTTACTAGCATGATCCATGTCCTAGCTGAACTGAGGAGAAAAAGTTTACTTCAAAAATTATAAAGCAAAACCAGTTCTCTATGAGGAGATACATTGACTCAGGAAAGGGAGAAACATTTTTAGGAAACAGAGCTGTCCAAAGAGAGAATGCCCTGCCTTTGAAGGTGGTAAGAACCTCCTCACTGAGATTATTCAAATACATACTACAATTCCTTTGATGGATCTAAGCAGCAGATGGAAAGTTGTACTAAATGCCCCTTGTTCCCTGAGTTCCAATTATTACAATTAGTAATAATTATAGTGACAATAATCCAATTCTCTATTCGCAAAGGTGTCATTCTTTCTTTTTCTATAAAATTTCTTTGATTTCTAAGGGAATATAAAGAAATCTGAAATTGCAAACTATTTCTTAACTAAATGATATAAACTAAGCTAATGCCATCTTCCCTATTCAATTCAATAGGGACACCACTATTTTGTTCCAAGTGTTAACATAGCTGTTTGATTTTTTTTTTTTTTTGTCATTAAAAACAGGGAATACCAGCCGTAACCAGTTTGGCTCAGTGGATAGAGCATCGGCCTGCGGACTGAAAAGTCCCAGGTTCGATTCCGGTCAAGGGCATATACCTTGGCTGTGGGCACATTCCTAGTGGGGAGTGTGCAGGAGGCAGCTGATCGATGTTTCTCTCTCATCGATGTTTCTAACTCTCTCCCTTCCTCTCTGTAAAAAATCAATAAAATATATTTTAAGAAAAACAAACAAACAAAAAAACAGGGAATTCCTGCCCTAGCCTATTTGGCTTAATGGATAGAGTGTCAGCCTGCGGACTGAAGGGTCCCAGGTTCGATTCTGGTCAAGGGCACATGCCTGGGTTGTGGGCTGGAACCCCAGTGGGTAGTGTGTAGGAGGCAGCTGATCAGTGATTCTCTCTCATCATTGATGTTTCTATCTCTCTCTCCCTCTCCCTTCCTCACTGAAATCAATAAAAATATTTTTAAAAAAATAAATAACAGGGAATTCCTCAAATAGCTTCAAGTAAGTGGAGGAGTACAAATAAGCAGTACCTACATGTTTGCCAGTGAAGGAGAACAGATTAAGGACCGGGGAGTAAGCAATTTTGTGACTGCTATTCTCCTAGATTCATAGGTTATATTAATTGGGTCTACTAATACCAAAAAGTCAAAGATATACATAGGATAAGGGGTTAATATCCAAAATTTATAAAGAACGCATACAATTCAACACCAATTCAACAAATTCATTCAACAACTATTTGTTGAATGTCAACCATGTGCCAGGCACTGTATTAGGCACTAGAGATACTACAGTGACCAAGACAAATAGTCTCTGGTCTGCCAGGTACTAGCAGTTGAGCAGGGAAAAGAGTCAGTAAATAAGTAGAGGCACTATCCCTCCAGGGAGCACACCCATGACATTCCCTTCCACCTCTCCAACCCCTCCCCCACCCCCGGCAAGTATCCCCTAAACTCTAAGGGACCCCATGAGACTTGCAACCAGGGGAGCAATGGGCAGTGGCAGCTCATCCTGGGTTAACCCCCTGAACCTATCTCCACGGCCCATTTTTCCCCTTTTCTCTGACTTCCCAGGGAGCCAAAGCAGCCCAGCCCAGGCTCTCCTGTTGCTCCTTCTTATGCCCTTCCTTGTTTCACTGCCCTAAGTATGTTTTTGCTGTGGTTAATAAGTTCTTGCTGGTTTTTCTACCAAAAAACACACAATAAGAGTAACTAGAATAACTATTATCAATGCAACGAGAGAGGAAGTATCAGGAACTATATGAGCACATTGTAGGAGGTTTCCAGAAAAGACACAGAGAAGGCTGCCCTGGAAAAAATAAGAATAGAAATATCTACTTCAGAGGCTGATCAAAATAAAATGCTTCATACACTCTGATACACAGTAGGTAACTAATCAATGCTATTTTCCAGTCCCTGAAAAATTCTTTTGGGAGATGAAAAAATACTATTTATTTAGTACTATTCTCTTTCCCTTCCTCTCTCTCTCTCTCTCTCAAGGAACTTAATCAGCTGACAAGCCACACAAATGGAATGAAAAAGCAGAGAAGGGGTAGAAATACAGAATAAGCAATTCTATGGTGTGATTCCAATTCATCTCCTTTGTCATTAAAGTGCAGTAGGGCGGGGACAGGGAAATTGCCATACAGAAATCACTGTTAGCTGACAGACATCCTATCCTCTATTTGAAGGTTAACTGGAAACAGAACGTGAAATCAATTTGGGGAACCTTGCACTATTTACCTGTTAAAGGGGGTTAGAGTTCAGTTGCACAACTGAATAGTGAAGTGGCTTTGCAATTAAAACACAATTAAAGTGAAGTCTGCCAATAAAGGAAAAGTTATGTGCTAAAAGCATCTAGCATCATAAATATAATTATGTTTGAAAACTATTTTCAGTTAACCTTTCAGTAGAGAAATATGTGAAAAAATAATTGATCAATCGTTACACTACTATTAAAAATGATAATCAAGCCCTAGCTGGTTTGGCTCAGTGTATAGAGTGTGGGCCTAGGTACTGAAGGGTCCTGGGTTCGATTCCAGCCAAGGGCACATGCCCGGGTTGTGGGCTCGATCCCCAGTAGGGGGTGTGCAGGAGGCAGCCAATCAATGATTCTCTCTCATCATTGATGTGTCTATCTCTCTCTCCCTCTCCTTTCCTCTCTGAAATCAATAAAAATATATTTTAAAAAATGATAATCAAAAGAGTAGTTAAGAAATATAAAAAATTATCCATTTACATGTGGACAAAGACTAGAGAATATAAAAAAATAAAATTTTCATGCAACAGGTAAAATTTGTGTATGGTATTTACAAGTTTTCTTTAATAATGTTATAACATTGCTTTAGTATAAAATATAACAAACAGCCGAAACCGGTTTGGCTCAGTGGATAGAGCGTCGGCCTGCGGACTGAAAGGTCCCAGGTTCCATTCCGGTCAAGGGCATGTACCTGGGTTGCGGGCACATCCCCAATAGGAGATGTGCAGGAGGCAGCTGATCGATGTTTCTCTCTCGTCGATGTTTCTAACTCTCTATCTCTCTCCCTTCCTCTCTGTAAAAAATCAATAAAATATATTTAAAAAAAAATATATAACAAACAATGGTTTTAAGGTCTTAAAATTGCAAATAAATTAAAGTACTTCTGTGGTCATGTCTGTATAGCATTCAGGTGTATTCCAGACATTTTTTGGAGCTCCTGCCCCAGGTCTAGAAGTCAGACTGGTTCTAAGAACCCCCAAGAGCACCCATAATCTCCAGGGTGTAGATCTGGGCCAAGCCAATTTCCATGATCCTAGCTGCATCCTGCCTCTTTTCCTGAGGGTAAACTGCTACTTAATCAATTCATGATCCTAAACTCGTCAAAATTATCACATAAAAGTTTCTCTCCAGAAAAGCATTTAATGAAAGCAAAATTTATTTCATCACAGTATAAACATTTTGGACAATTCTAATAGCAATTCTTCTTACATGGTCAGAAAGAATGTCTGTTTAGCTCTCCCCAGGGCCCAGCACAGTGCCTATCAAGGCCCCAATAAAATTTGCTGAAAAAACCCCACCTTTAAAACATATCTGTATTGTATATTATAACATACATTTCACTTCACTAAACACTCATTTACAGAGGAGCTATAACTGGAGAGCATTATGCTAAGTGAAATAAGCCAGTCAGAGAAAGATAAATACCTCATGATTTCACTCATTTGTGGAATATAGAGAACAACATAGACTGATGAACAGGGACAGATCCAAAGACAGAGAAACAGCAATCAGACTATTAATCCCCAGAGGGAAAGTAGGGGAGGGAGGGGGCAAGGGGAAGAGATCAACCAAAGGACTAATGGGGGGGATGAGGACACATTTGTAATACCTTAACTAATAAAGAGTTTAAAAAAATATATTAAATTTCCTGATTTAAAAAAAAAACACACAAAAAAACAACTGTGCTTGCTTTATGTAGATTATTTTCAATGGTAAAATCCTTACTAATAAGATTACCAGTCATTAAAATATTAAAACATTCTTGATTATCAAACATCCTACGTAATAAAATAGCACTGAATATTCAACAAATATTTATCAACATCCATAATTCTGTTGTAACAAATCACTTTTATGCATGAACAGTGTATATCTAAATATGTGGTCTATGTAAGACTGAAACAAGGGAGATAAATTCATTCAAAGCATTAGTCTTTATAAGAAAGCAAATGCAAATTTGAACTTGGAATCATTATTTTTGTTCCAAGAGAAAACTATACTTTAATGGTGTTACATTTTTAAAGAGTTTAAAATATAAGTTGTCAATGGTATGCACTATAAAAAGTGAGTGGATTGCTTCAAATTTTATACTTAGTACTAAAAAAAAAAAGTCCAACGTTGTTTATAATTAAGCAGAGTCATAGCTACACTGAATTTTCCAAGCCTCTATTTTTTGGCTGTCTTATACTTCAAATTAAATGATTAACAGATAGCAGTTTATTGGCCTAGTTAGCCACAAAACCATGTTATTTTGGTAAAGTTTTATGTGAATAAAAACAAACTTTGTTTTTCATACCAATTCTGGGTCAAATAAGAACATTTAGAAGGTAACTATAATTTTTAAGGATCATGTTAGTTTTGACCTAGTACCAACTAAATAAAATTGTTCTTAGGGTGGCTAAAGTACACAAACTGAGAATCCTTTGGACTAAATATTCATACATACAGTGAAAAATTTTTGAATTCTGTATTTTACTTAGTTTCACTTCTCCCTCTTTGAGTCAGAGTGCTGTTTAGCCAGCTGAAAATACTTATTTTTACATGTTTGTATTCAAACCAGAAGTCAGAAATCCATCAAAATCACAAAATGAAATAATACTAGGAACAAAGAACAATGGGATCAAATTAAAACAAAGGATATCTACCATGTTAAAAAAAAAAGTCTAAGAGGATATTTTTTAATAAAAAACAAGCAAAAAAAATTTAGCCTTTACACACTTTAGGCATTTTTTAAAGCTAAAATGTAAAAATATTCAGGAACAGCAATTATTTTTTAAAATTAAATGAGAAATTTGACAACCCAAATTTGTACCCACACAAATGTTCTTTAAAATTTCTGTAACCTAGAATTATTAAGTAAATTTCCAAAGTGGTCTCAAGACAATCAAAATTTAAGTATTAAGATGAATATAGACAGGAATGAATATGACAAAAATGAAAGCATCTAAGAAATTATGGCCAAAGATAATCTAATTTCAGAAGATCCCTTTGTTAATGCTAATTAAGGCTTAAAGGTTTAGTAACTCTATCCTCTTTCCTGTTTTTTTCCACCTGAGAAAGCTGACCTTAATACTGCTAACGATTAAAGGAAGAATCCAAGCTGGACAGATTTCTCTGGCAAGCTCTGCCCCCAGATTTGAGGAGTGAAATGTCTTTTTGAAAGGTCTGCAGGACACTAACATCCTGGCTTGCTGCCTTCTCCTGGGATGTCAGTAGGTATGTAACATATTGAGAGTGATATAGAAACTAGAACTATAATGAAATCTCCTATCTTTATTACTTAAGTTTGTATGATCCAAAAGTAATTTTCTGCTGAAATAGCTTTCCCCTTCTTTTCTCAAGGAGGTGTGTTAAGTCTTTCAAAGCCAGTCTAACACACAGTCTAACACAAGAATGCTATTCTTGATTCCAAGTGAGATTATCATCAAGAGGCTGAAAAACCATTCATCTGTCTGTTACCTCTCCCCTGGATAAAATATAGTAGTTGTTACCTATTTCCCTCAGGATATAATCATTCAATTTTTAAAAATATTTTGAAATATAATAGAAATTAGATTGGTAATGTCAACTTGTAAGAACTCAATTTTTAAAATTAAAAGCGAACCACCATATTAATGGTTATGTAAGCTTTCTTAGTACTTTCAGGAATCATCTAAAATAACAATTGAACTAAAGTATAAATATTTCAAACAATATACTATGTAATCTAATGCTTCTTATAAAAGCAATATATATCAGGTAAATAAAATATACATGTAATTATGTAAAAATCTATTTGAATATTTAAATAAGGGTATGTTTAACCTATATTATTTAATTTTTAATATCCTAATTTTATCATTATAAGTTAACTATTATTACTAGACTATATATTGAAAATATATTTTCAGGAGTTGTTCATGAAGCATTTTTCTGGATATAGGCAAAAAACAGTAAAATTTCTGGATCAATTTCCCTACACGAAATGTCTCTGCCCTCATAACCTTCATTTGTCTTGTTACCACTGTTACCATAGCACCTGAGATAGTTCCTGAAACAAAGGATTTCAGCAAATATCAATTAAAAATCAATTATAAATATAGCACATAGATGTATGTATTATGACGTATGATGCTGTTTCCATTAAAATTGAAGCAGCCAATCTTCCTATATTTTCCAAGTTTGAACGTACATTTCTTACAAAAGTGTTAGGAATATATCTGTGTTCATTTAAAAAAAGCTTTTAAAACTTGAGCCAAAGAGAGTGTCATGGGATCTACAGGGAGCACATTCAGTACCTGAGTTTTACGTTATCAAAACATCGGAACACATACTTGCCATAGCTTCCTCAGCATTCTGTGCTCTGACACGGAAGGGTGTCCCTTCAAATTAGGTGTTTAGCTCAGGCCATCATTACCAACAGGTCCAAAGTACCTATCTGCCATCTCCTACAAAAAAAGTAATATCACTTTATTATTCTAGAGATGATGATGCAGTCTTAGGAAATTTTAAAGTTTATGCCTTGGCTTTTTTAAAAATAAATGTAACTTTGAAGAAAAATAATTTCCTCATAGAAACTTTAAAGAATTATCTAAATGCCAAATCCAATATTAGTAAGAAACACAAAAATTGAAAACTACACTTTAAAAAATTCTATATTATGTAAAACAACCAAGTCACTATGATACTATTTTCAATAAAAATGTTCAAAATGTGAATATATGCAGAATATAATAGGAAAGCTAAGATTAAGAAATTGGGAATTGTAAAAATTTACCACACAAAAGTTATGTGGGGGGGGGGTGTAAATTAAGATTAATGCCTACTCATTAAAGCCAGTTTATTCTAGCACTGCTTGTTATGCTGAAAGGTTTAAAATTTGTTAAATGTTGAAACAGTATAAAATATTTTAAAAGCCCGGGCAATAATCAATTTTCCATTTCAAAAGTTATGAAAGACAACTTAAACTAAGAGTTGAAAAGAGGTATATGTGTCTATGTTTACACATAAACATAGATATTTGGCAAATATCTGCATCCTAATTTACTGTGTATTAAGTGGAATGAAGTGGGTTATTAATGCTGTCAATAAGCCAATTACTTAAGTAAATCACTGGTACTCCTAAACATGTAGTATCTAGAATGACTGGCGTTTAACTATGTCATTTTTGCAAGAAAGCTACAGACCAAATGGCTTTTTAATCAATGCATTGTGGAACATTAAATTGTAAAAACACACTGGAAATTGTTCTCTCTCCCTTTTTTTTTTTTGTCAATCCTCACTAGAGGATATTCTCCCATTTATTTTTAGGAGTGGAAGCAAGGGGGAGAGACACACAGAAAGAAACATGGATATGAGAAAGATACATTGATAGGTTGCCTCCCCCTTGGTCTGGACGAGGGCCGGGTATCCAGCCTGCAACTGAGGTATGGACCCTTCAGTCCACAGGCCCATGCTCCATCCACTGAGCCAAACCAGCCAGGGCGAAATCATTCTCTGAAAACTCAGATTTGTGTCCAAATGTGGTATATTACTCAGAGTTAAGCCAATCATGAAAATTTAATAAAAGCTGTAATTGTTTCTGTCTATTAAATAACAGGAAATAATGCTTTTGAAGGGTTGAATCATTTTTGTTGTTTCTTTAAGCACTTGAAGCTCTGTAACCATAGTGAATGAATATTTAGGAAGATGATTTCCCCCAAATGCCTTATCCTTTGATTCTTGCTATTATTATATACAAGTTTACAAAGAGCCCTCTTAAGTCAAGAAATAATGTAGACTGTCAAGTGTGGCTCAGTGGTTGAGCGTCTATGAACTAGGAAGTCACGGTTCGATTCCCGGTCAGGGCACATGCCTGGGTGGCAGGCTCAATCCCCAGTGGGGGGCATGCAGGAGGCAGATCAATGATTCTCTCTCATCATTGATGTTTCTATCTCTCCTTCTCCCTTCCTCTCTGAAATCAATAAAAATATATTTTTTAAAAAAGAAATAACGTAAACCCACTAATCCTTTAGTAAAATACTTCTAGGTAAAGTTAAAGCTTGGACTGAAGAGTTACACTATTTTCATGAAAAGCAAAATAGCATTTTCCTGGTCAGTGCAGTGGAGCATCCTGTTATCCCTGCAGCCTGGGATTCTACAGTTTCTTCCCTGGTATCTCCTTGTTCCACCTCTCCTTAGCCATTCACTACAGGATGTCAACCAGAGGAGAAGATAGGAAACAGCTGCCAAAAAGGGGAGGTTATTTTCCAAAATGAATTATTAATGTTATAGGAAATTGGTGACCTATTTGAATCCACTCTTAAATCACACAGTAATTGCAAGATGTTTTATCGAATGGGAGTCTCTTGAGATTAGCTGCCAAGACATGAGAAGGCACCAGGCAACTAGAGGAGCAACAAATGAGCTGCTCAATAGTTCTGGATGAAAAGCATACTTGCCTGATGTTATTTCAGTTCCTGAAACTGGGATTACTTTAGAACAATCCTCTCTAATACCCAGTATCTTCTAATAGTACCTATTTAATAGGGTTGCTTTGAGGACTGAAAGAAATAACACATGTAAAGTGTTTAGAATATTTCCTGGCATTAGTAAGTCCACAGTTATATTTTCTGACTTTTATTTAGGTATTTAATTTATAGCACAAAGGAAGTCTTTGTTTAAAATTTGTTAAAATGTTGAAACAGTATAACATATTTTAAAAGCCCAGGCAATAATCAATTTTCCATTTTATACCTTTCAGCATATCAAGCAATGCTAGAATAAGCTGGCTTTAATAAGTAGACATTAATCAATCATAATTTACACCCCCCACCCCGACATATCCATACTTTCTCTGACCTTCAAGAAGAATCATTTGTCTAAACACATTTTAAGGGGTATTTCATAGAACTAACAAGCCTCTGATATAAAAAAAATATTATCATAATAACGAAGAGAAATTGTTCTCTTTTCACCATCCCTCACTCCCAAGTACGGTCCATGCCCAGAAAAATTTTAAAAAATGTTTTTTTGACAATATTAAAAGTAAAGGAAACACTTATAGAGAAGAAAAACATAGTTATGAGTGAAATATTTAGAAACATCAGAATCTTTCTATCTCCTTTCATTCCTCTCAATAACCGAAAAAGGGAAAGATCTTTAGGAAGGGGAAAAAGAGAATCAGAAATCCTGTGGGAAATATGAATCACTAAAATTGACTGACAAGTTATTTTATTTAAAATTCTGAATATGTATATGATATGTCTACCACATCAGTGTTTCAATTTTCTTAGATAAGCTTTGATGTTTTAAAAAAATCTAAGTCTAGCCCTAGGTGGCTTGGCTCAGTGGATAGAGCATCGGCCTGCAGACCAAAGGGTACCTGGTTCAATTCTGGTCAAGGACACGTACCTTGGTTGCAGGTTCCTTCCAGGTTTGTACAGGAGGCAACCAATCGATGTGTTTCTCTCACATTGATGTTCCTGTCTTTCCCTCTCTCTTTCATTCTCCCTAAAAGTCAATGGAAAAATATCCTTGGGCAAGGATTAACAACAAAAATAAATAAATAAAAATGTAAATCTAGCCCTGGCTGGTGTGGCTCAGTTGGTTGGACATCGTTCCCCCCATGCATGGAAAGGTTGCTGGTTGATTCCCCGTCAGAGCACATGCCCAGGTTGTGAGCTCCATCCAATCTCGTAGAGGAGGCAGAGATTGATGTTTCACTCTTATACTGATGTTTCTCTCTCTCTCCCTCTCCTTCTTTCTCCCTAAAAATCAATTTAAAAAATCTAAACCTAAAAACTGAAAACAAAAATCTTGCATAAACTACGATTTGCTCAATTTTAACTCCCTTGAATAAATGTAATTCTTAAACTGCTCACATACAATTCTTTTTCAAAGTATATCATTATATTTGTTTAGACCAAAGGTGTATAAGACCATCCATATACTCTTAAATACATTATGGAATACTGGTGACATAAACTACAAAGATTAAGTATTCTTTAAGACCAAAACATGACAACTACCTAAAAATATTACATAATTACTTTAAAAATTAACTGTATAAAATACAGACCTCCAAATGTAAACTCAATATATATCCTGATTAGTAATCAGCAGCTTTGGTCATGCAAGTCTGGCTAACTCATGACTACACTGTCAATATTCAAATAGAGTCTCTTTTTTAAAAAAAAATATATTTTATTGATTTTTTACAGAGAGGAAGGGAGAGGGATAGAGAGTTAGAAACATCGGTGAGGGAGAAACATCGATCACCCGCAACCAAGGTACATGCCCTTGACCGGAATCGAACCCGGGACCCTTGAGTCCGCAAGCCGATGCTCTATCCACTGAGCCAAACCGGTTAGGGCTAGAGTCTCTTTTTTTAAAAGTGTATTTTATTGATTTTACAGAGAGGGAAGGAGAGGAATAGAAAGTTAGAAACATCAATGAGAAACACTGATCAGCTGCCTCCTGCATGCCCCATAAGGGGATTAAGCCTGCAACCGAGGTACATGCCCTTGACCAGAATCGATCCCAGGACCGTTCAGTCTGAAAGCCGATGTTCTATCCACTGAACCAAACAGGTCAGGGCTCAAATAGAGTCTTTTGAGCCCAAACCCACAATGCTACAATGTACATTAAAAGGTTATTTCCTCAGCCACATTTGCTATCATTTTAATAGTTTACAGGTACTTCTATTTAAGAATAAAGCTATAATTTAAAGCAAGCATGTCAAACTCAAAGGCTAACACGGGCCAAATAAACAAGGCTTAAGTTTATGTGGGCCACAAAAAAACAAAAGCTTCAATTTTCATAGAAATGTAGTTTTATTTCGATAGAGACATGCTGAATAAATACAAAGGGCTGAAATAAATGAGTACTTGTTAACATAAATAGAACATTTTAATAAAAATTAATATTTTTCTTGAACATTAACTTATTATACACTGAATAGCTGCACAAATTAATAAGCGTAACGCAAATAAGCCTATTTTCCTTGTTCTCTGAAAGTGAAATATTTCCTGTTGTGCACACCAAACAAGTCAGTACAAGACTAATAACGTGGCAATCGGCTGCTAAAATATTTGCTGCTAGTATTAGTGGAGAGAAATGGTGCGCCTGCACGTTAGGCACGTAAGGGAAATGAATGCAACACAATTATAGTCATCAGTCATTAGCGAATGTTGTAGTTTGTTATTAATAATTATGTTTAACAGGATATTGTAAAAATTAAGTTACAAAATTTTTATTAAAACGTATCTTACATACCATTATATTGACTGGGCCACAAAAATATTTGTTGTGGGCTGCATACGGCCCACGGACCATGAGTTTGACATGCTTGATTTAAAGCAAAGTAGTCCCAAAATATCACATTATTGTGCCCAACCAACATTACACGAAAAAAAAAAAGTATAATACATCATAACATCACCATTTAGTCTTAATGTGAAATTTAATATAAAAGGGAGAAAGTCTCCAAAATGAACCCACCTTACCTATGCTATTAAGTTCATTAATAAAATAACTGCTGCCCGGCCAGCGTGGCTCAGTGGTTGAGCATCGGCCTACAAACCAGGAGGTCACAGTTTGATTCCCAGTCAGGGCACATGCCTGGGTTGCAGGCTTGATCCCCAGTGTGGGATGGGCAGGAGGCA